TGGGAGGGTGGGGGGCTGGGGGGGTCGCGTCCGAAAGCCCTCACACCGTTCTGGGTGCCACCTCTCCCTGCTTGGGCGCCGCCGCGCGAGCGCTTCCCTTCCCCCTGCGAGCGCCCGGATAATGTCTGAGAATGTCCATTTCTGGGACGCTTAGCAGCTATTATGTCGACTCGATCATAAGTCACGAGAGCGAGGACGCGCCTCCAGCCAAGTTTCCTTCCGGCCAGTACGCGAGTCCCCGGCAGCCGGGCCACGCGGAGCACCTGGAGTTCCCCTCGTGCAGCTTCCAGCCCAAAGCGCCGGTGTTCGGCGCCTCCTGGGCGCCGCTGAGCCCGCACGCGTCCGGAAGCCTGCCGTCCGTCTACCACCCCTACATCCAGCCCCAGGGCGTCCCGCCGGCCGAGAGCAGGTACCTCCGCACCTGGCTGGAGCCGGCGCAGCGCGGCGAAGCGGCTCCGGGGCAGGGCCCGGCGGCGGTGAAGGCGGAGCCGCTGCTGGGCGCGCCGGGGGAGCTGCTGAAACAGGGCACGCCCGAGTACAGTTTGGAAACTTCGGCGGGCAGGGAGGCCGTCCTGTCTAATCAAAGACCCGGCTACGGGGACAATAAAATTTGCGAAGGAAGCGAGGACAAAGAGAGGCCGGATCAAAGTAAGTTATAAAAAAGTTAGGAAATACCCAGGCCGAAGGCCAGGCGAGGGGGAGGGGAGGAGAGAGGCAATAAACTGCGGACAATGTGAAGGGAAACCGCGGCGGTGGCCGGAGAGCGAGCCGGGGAGGAGGGAACAGGGAGGAAGGAAGGAAGCAAGCTGGGTGCCCCGAAGGGGAGCCCGAGGCCGCGGGAGGAGCGCCGCCCCAACCACGCCAGGTCCTGGAGGGAAGTGGGGCGCAGGGACCGACTCGCTGATCTCTCAGCCTCACTTCCCCCACTCTCCCCGAGGCGCCGCTGAAAGCCGGGGAGGAGGCTGACGACCGTCTGCCGGGAGAGGGCTGGCGGGGCCTGGGCGGCCGCGGGCGAGACCGAGAGCCCGCGCCGGCAAGGCCGGGAGCGCACAGGGCTGCCCCGCCGCGCGGCGTCAAGGATAGAATTATTTTCATCCAATTTTGTGTTAATTGCTTGTTCTATTTTGTTCTAACTTTCATATGTATAGTCTTTCAGGTAAAAATGGTTTATTTGCGATGCAACAGCCTGGCGGAGGATTGAGTCTAGCAGATCTCGCGCAGTAGCCGCTCGGGGTCCGCAGCCGGCGCCGGGAGGGGCGGGGGAAGCCCAGGACCCGGTGACTGAGCCCCCTCCCCGGATGCGCCGGCCCCTCCCCGGGAGCCTTCCCTCCAGTCGCCCCCTCCCCTCCTTGGTCTCCTCTCCTGGGTGGCGGCTTCCTTTTCTGCGGCCACCCGCTGCTCTCCGCGGGGCTCCCTAGCCCCAGCCAGAGCGGTCCGCCTCGCAGGGAGTCGGAAATCGCTTCCAAACTTCGGGGAGGACAGACAGAGCGGAGAAGAAAAGATCGCGAAGGGACCCTGGGGAGAGGCAGGGTGGGGGAAGAAGCGTGCGGAGAGGTGGAGAACTTCACCCTCCGACGGTAGTTTCTTATCACCTCCCACTCCTCCAAGAGCACCCCCGCCAGGAACCCAAGTCTGGCTAATTTCCAGGAGGTGCTGCTGGCTAAGGGTGGTGAGGAGGGGTAGTTTCGTGTTCTTCTTTTTCTTTTTCTTTCTTTCTTTCTTTAAGATAGGAAGGGCAAATGAGCAGCCCCAACCAATAACCTTCAAGCTGGTGGGCAAAAGTCCTCTCTCCTTACTCTTTTGGGGGAGTGGGGGTCAGATGTTTTAGCCTCTGCTTGCCTTGCCAGATTTCTCACCAACAGAATGGCGCACCTGCCCTTTGGGGTGTCCTTACTTCCCCACACTCTACTGATCCTGAGGTCCTTGTGGGGTTCCACCTGCCAGTTTGAATCACAAGAGCTAGCTTTTGAGCAACACCGGCTCTTCCCAAAGCCTCCCTGATCACACCCAAACAGACCTCCCCCACCCCAAGCCCCCAAACTCTTCCTGGAAAGCCCATTATTGCAAGGCAGCAATTTGGTTAGGATCAATTATTAACAGTTTTTTTCCTCTTTCATATTTAATGTGACTGCAGGTCCCATCACAGGCAATCACATTAAGGAAATAGTGCTGCGAACTGGTAAGACACAGGACTTAGTGTAGGATGAACCAGATTATTTTAATATATATATATTCAGTACTTTTTGGGGGGAGAGAGAAGGAATCTAGGGGCAGAGTGTTTGTTATTTTTAATTGGCTCTGCTTTATTTGGCAACTTTTCTGTGTTACAGGGTAGGGAGAGAGACAGTAAGGAGAAGAAAAGCCTCTATACATTTTTGTTTCTTCTTTCCCCCCACTTACACTCAATTACCCTTTTCTCTGTTCCCCCTCACCACATGAAGTCAGTTGGAGTGAGGTGTGCTGTGAAGGGCTTTCTGTTACCACTACAACATCCATGGCTCTCCACCTTGGGACTGGAGCAGTCTTGATTCCAAATTTCCCTGAACTTGCTTTAACCAAACTGTGAGCTGAGCAGGAGCAGAAAAGGAGAGACTATTGCGATCATAAGTTATCTGTGAGCCCCTGGTGTGCTGGATGTTTGAGTCTCTAAGTGTGGACCCATACTGGTGATATTTGGTGTTGGGGGCAGATATCTACCCACACATACATGCCTGCTGCCATGTGGCCAGGAGACGCAAGCTTGCAATCAAGGCAGGGTGTCCTGGGACTGGACTGGAGGGTCAGGAGGTCTCTTGGCTGTGGCTGAATAGAAGCTGCTCTCCCCCAGCCCAATACTACTCTCACCTCCCAGACCTACAGCCAGGACCCTTCAGGTCAGCCATCCCTAGTTAGACTTGTGGTGCAGAGGGTTGGGGGGCAGGGACTTTCGCCATACTGAGCTCTGACCTGAGTCCTGTCCATTTTGGACCCAAATGGAGAAAGAAAACCTGAGGCAGGCAAAGCTTTGGAAGTGCTGAGCAGCCTAGCATGTGGTTGGCACCCTCCTGTCCAAGTAACCTCTCATCTGGAGGTATCCGTAACAACTCCTGGCCCATCTCTGGGACCCTTTCCGGGAACTTGAAGGCCCAGGTGCCCCTTTCTCCAATGCAACATGGGGAGCAGACACCAAAGTGTACCTTCTTGGAAGAAGAACGCCAGGGCCCTTCATCCTCCCTTCCTTTCTTTGATTCTATCGCTGCTTCTCTTTCAGCCAACCCCTCCGCCAACTGGCTGCACGCTCGCTCTTCCCGGAAAAAGCGCTGTCCCTACACCAAATACCAGACGCTGGAGCTAGAGAAGGAGTTTCTGTTCAATATGTACCTCACCAGGGACCGTAGGCACGAAGTGGCCAGACTCCTCAATCTGAGTGAGAGACAAGTCAAAATCTGGTTTCAGAACCGGCGGATGAAAATGAAGAAAATGAATAAGGAACAGGGCAAAGAGTAAAAATCCCCCCTCTCCTCCCCACCCCTTTCCCATCTCACGCTTATTTATAAGTGATTGCTGCAAAGCCAGTGCTGTCTGGGATGTATTCAAGTGAGTGGGGAAGGGACTCTTTCTTTTCAAAGTCCTTTCCTGCATCGAGAGCTTCTCTCCTTTCCTTTGCCCTTTACCTGTCCTCTCTGCCCTGGGTTTCAGGAGGAAGTTTTGTTAATTTAGAAGGTAGATGTAGTTGGTTCCTAAGAAGAGGATGGGCTACAAGGAAAGAGAGACCCTAGTCGAGCCCCTAGCAACTCCCCCCTAATTTTTCTGGGAAGTCCCAGCCCCTTACTTCCAGCCTGCCTGTTCTACCCTACATCTATCCCAAAGTCACCCAGGGACACTCCAACTGCACACAACCCAACAGACCCCGCATACATAAAGCCTGGAGCCCACAATAATAATGAGAAAAGCTCACAGCCAACACTCAAATGAAATGACCTCTCAAATGCAGACCATCGCACCCCAAATCTGGCAAAACAGCCATCGGAACGTCAGGCAAGATTCCATCCCTGACGTAAAAACACAGCAAGATGTCTAGAGACACACTCCAGAATGAGGCACTGCAGCTCATTCAAAGGGCTGAGCATCACAATACCATCCCCCAAGAAACCCCCAATGCTACCCTGCCCAACTCAAGGGCCAAAGGGTAAAAGCCCCCAAGCTGGTGGGTTAGAAAGGGCAAGGAAAGGCCACGGTGGTCTTATGAAGGTGTCTTAGGTTTTATGAAGGCATTCCACACGCACATTTTGTTGCAGGAAATGTTTAATTCTGCATGTTGTTTTCCTCTCCTTCCAACAAAAGGAGGTCAAATTGTGGGTCGTAAGCCTTGACAATGTCGTCCGTCTGTTCATCTGTGCCCCGCTTAACAGAGACTGTAGCTTCTCTTGCTCTCCACTGGCCCCTGCGTTCTTCCGCATCCTCTCAGCTCTGAAATCAACTCTGTTCGGCCAAATCCACCTTGCACCAGCCAAGCCGCCCCTTGTAGAAAATCCCTCCACCCTCCGTACCCTGCTAGGTCAACCCCGCCATAGGCAGGAAAGCAAGGGCAGGAAAGTCCCATGGAGAATTTATTGAGAATCGATTCCTGAGCTCCCTTCCGGCTAAGCTGTGGAGGACAGAGAGGAGCAAAGGCTCCAGCACGCGGCATTAGGCGCGTTCCTCCCCACCCTGTTCACCTCCCGACCTATGCAGAAGAGCCCCAGGCTTAGCGGCTGCCCGCCCCAGCGCCGAGCAAGACCGGCCCCAGCGCCCGGCTTTGCCTCCCTCGACTCGGGCCTGGATGGCGATCTGCGCGGCTACTGCGCACACGCTTCTGGGGAACAGTCCCGCGTGCAAAGGAAAGAGGCAGATTTGCACCTAAGCATCAGGCTGAAGCTTACTCTGATTTCCTTCTGCCCCCCGCTCCGGGACCTCTCCAATCCCTTTCAATTCCATGGACTCTTGCTCCTGCTTCTCCCGCCCCTGCAAGGGGACATTCCAGTAGAATTTTTTTGCTTTGTCGGTGGCTGTCGTGAAATTGTGCTGTGTTTTGTGATTTCTTTGGGGGTGATTGTCTCGCCTGTTTTCAGTTGTTGCTTATATGGGAGGGTGGTGGGTGGGAGTGGGGAGGGTGAGGGGCCTAGAGCTCGGATTGTTTGTTTTGGAAAGGGGAAAACAAAAAAAAAAAAAACAAGAAAAAGAACAAAAATATATATATCACTCTAGAAAATCAATCTCTCCTTGTGTCTTATTCTGTGTTGGCTCTCCTCACCTGGCCAGAGGTAGAGATCCTAGAGAGTGCCTTGGAAAAAAAGAAACCCCTGTGCCCAAGAAGTTTCTCCTTAGACCTTGCAGAGCAGGCTTCCTGGTGGAGCTGGGAGCTGGTCTGGACCCGAAGTCCCAAGACCACTGCTTAAACTGAGCCAGGGCTTATCAACAGGAGAGTTGGGAGACTTTATGGAGAAGGAAGAAAAGGTGAGAGGTTTGGAGAGGGGTTTGGTCTTGATTTCTCCAAAGCTAGCTGCACCTGGGACCTCCCTAGCTCTAGAGTCAGAGGGAAGGCAAGGCTGGTCCTGCCGCCCCTGGAAGCAATTCCTCTCTCAGCCGGCTGACACTGTGAACTTGGTTTGGCCACTTTAAAATCTTGCATGTGAGGAAGGCAGTAACTTCCTTCTATTGCCTGCAGCAGGGTGACTGGGTGTAGGCTGAGGCCTCCTGAAGGCCTGGCTCTCCTTTCTTCCACTCAAAAGGAGCGAATCCTTCAAGGTTCTTGGTCCGCACCTGAAATTCGAGGCTTCACAGAATAGAGCCACGGAATAGCAGCCCTGGCGGGTGGAGGCTGGTAAGGGTGGAGGCCTGGGGACATGGCTCCCAAAGGCAGAGAAAAGGGACTGAATATGAAACAGAAGTGTCTCGGGAGATAAGAAATCCCCTTCCCAATTGGACCCTAGAACTAAAATCTGTTCAGAGAGACACCTTTCTGTCCCTCTCAGACTGTGGTGTCCCCACCAGAGTCCCATATGAAGACCACTGTTCTCATCCAGCTTTGAGATTCGGCTTCTGCCTGGCTGGCGCTTGAGAACCAGCCTCCTGCTGGAGCCTCCCATCCAGCTATCCCAGAGCACTGCAGCCTGCAAGCATCCGCATGGTTGGAGTAGAGGTGGGGACAAAGCATAACCTGAGCGAAAGGATCTTGGAAGTGAAAAGGCTGGGCCTACCCCTCTCCAGCGAACGAAGGATGTATTAATCTGAGAGATGGCAGGAGGCAAGAGGAAGAGAAGCTCCTGGGTATGGCAAGGCCTGGCACCCACATCCTCCAAGGAGGGTTCTATTAGGTATATAAAATGAATCTGGCTTTAGAGCTTGTGTAGACTAGGCTCCCTCCCCATCCTGGGTTCCCTGGAGCCAACCGGCGCGCTGAGAGTGAGCCCAGAATGCTGGGTTCCGCCCAGAGGAAACGCAAAAGGCCAGGCTGGGACTGGAGGGAGTGCTGCGGGGTAGGGGGTATTGCCCCAGGAGCAGCCTCCGGCGGTGTCTAGGTCCTTAGTCGGGTGGCTTCTTTAAAGACAAACAAAGGCGAAGATGCGGAGGCTGGGAAGCCGGAGATGGGGAAATCTGTTGTCATAAAAGAGAGCGAGAGATTCAGAGAGGGAGCCCGCGAGAGTGCGAGACAGAGAATCCGGGAGAGGAATTCAATGCCGTGTGCGCAGCAATAAAAGAATATGACCGCTATAAAAGTTTATAGCGTATAAATTTCTGAAGGTTAAGAAACTAAACAGCAGCAAAGCAAACAGTGAGAGGAAACTTTCCGGAGCTGAGAAAGCCGCATCTGGTCTTGGGCTTCGGGCCTGGCGGGGGGTGGGGGGGAATGGGAGAGCCTGGCTCCGCAGCCCCCATCCTCACAGCCCAGTACGAGGCTTGGGGTTTCCCAGGCCCCAGGTGGGCAAAGAGGGAGAAGAGGAAAGTGGGGAGGGCGAACACTTTGTTGTCACAAATCCTTTAGAGAACGCAATTAGGAATCTTGTCTTTGTTCTTCATACCCCCTCCAGAATCGGACGTCATAAAGAAGCCCCCTGCGCGCGCGCGCACATACACACACGCACGCGCGCGCTGCGCTTGAAGGTGGGTAGGAGTCCGCGGAGAGCGGGAGACGAGAAGGCGGCAGCGAGTTAGTTCAGTCCTGACCCCGCGCGCGCGCGCGCGCGCACACACACACACACACGCGCGCGCGCGCGCGCACACACACACACACACACACACACACACACACACACACAGAGGTCCGGCGGGGCCAGACGTCTGGGCGCGGGCAGCCTCTTGATCCTTTAACAGTCCCGTTCTACCCTCTCAGGCCTCCTCTCCCCCCACAAAAAGCCCAATTGTTTCTCCTCAGAATTTGAAACAATCGTGTTGAGTTTGAAAAGTGCCCGGCTCCCCCTTTTACGAGCCATAAACGGCGCACTGCTTGGCGGTCTTCGCCAGAACCTAGGAGCTTGGAATGGGGGAGGGCAAGGGAAGCCGGTGTCAGTACGGAAAAAAAAAGCTTATGGTTTCCTTTCTCCTCCTCACCCCCTCACCTTGCTTTTTTTTTTTTTTAAGCTTATCTGCACAATTTCATGAACCATTTCCTGATTTCCGATGGCTTTTCTCTCGCCTGCTCTCGTTTCCCTCTCCCTTTTCTGCCAATAATGAAAGTTTTTCCAGCTTGTCGCCTGGGTAGCTGGCTCTGGAGAAACTGGCCGAGCCGGTGACGACGGCGCCTTTTCTTATGATGGCCGCTAGATGGCACCCTTGCTCCACGTGAAAATCCCCTGTGCGGCGGCTGCGGGCGCTGGCGGCTGCACCGCGCACCTTGGTCGACCCTCAATCTACGAACTGAGCGCTACCAAAAAGTCATGAATAATTTGCGCGTAATAAAAATATACGATTCATTATGGCCGTTTCCCTCATTTTATAGATTTCAGATGTAGTGGTGTTGCTCCCCTCTCCTCAAATGGACAATTTTCTGAATTTCCCCCAGGAGGAGGGCTCTGTGCTTCTCACCCAGTTTCTGGGTTCTGTGGGGGAACAAATGCATGACAACGGTGAATAGTAGCAGCAGCAGCAATAGTAGTAGTAGTAGTAGAAGTAATAGTAGTAGTAGTAATTGTAGCAGCAGCAGCAGCAGTAGTAGTAGTAGTAGTAGTAGTAGTAGTAGTAGTAGTAATAGGAATAATGGGTCTAAATAAAAGAGGAAAAATTGTTCTGGAAAATAAGATTTTCCAGGGCTAGAAGCGACAGGAATGTCTGCGGATGCGGGTGAGCAGGTCAGGTGAGAGGGGAAGAGACGGCAGAAGAAGGTCGGATGGAGAGGAAACTGCCCGAAACGTGCTGCTGGGATCAGCAGAAGAGGGAACCGGGTGAGATAGCCTGGGGCTGGGGTAGGGGTGGGGACAATTTGGGGGAAATGGATCGTGGCTTTGGTGGGGATTGAGGGTGCTCATAGCCGGCGGGGCGGCTCCACTCGGACCAAGGCTCCAAGAGCTTTTGTAAGTGTCAGGGTCTGGGCTAGGCGCGCCGGGGCGACCCGGGCGCAGAGCAGGGGATCCCCGGAAAGATAAGGTGGAAGAAGGCTCGAGTATTTCCTCGGGTTGTTCTGCGCGCCCCAAGTTGAGCCGCTAAAAATATGCGCGTTTCCGGGTTGGATGTGGGGGCCGGCAAGGCGGCGGCAGGGAGCCTGAGTTCGGTTCTCCCTGCGGACCGTGGTTTCCAGGTGAGAGCTCCGACTCCGCGCGCATACCTGAAGGACATGGGTCCTTTCGCAATTTAGCAGTTGGAGGCCTGGACTCCGGGTGTTTTTCGTTCTGAAACCCGCGCGCTATCTGCCCATAGTCCCTTTGATTTCAAATCTCCTGTTTCCTCCAGGCCCAGCTGAATCCGTGCCCCCCATCCAGACAAACCTGCGCGAGAAATAGATTCTGCCCCCTCCTTAAAATTAGCCCCGCTGCAGCCTCTGCTCTCTTCCCCCAGGAGCGGGTACGAAGAGGTGAGCGGAGTTTCTCAACTTGAGTTTCTCTAATAAATCTGCGCTCCGTTGGGTGTTTATAAATTATCTCCTCGCTCTTTCTTGTTTTTTTCTTATAATAGAAACATTTTCCTTCCATCAGGAATTTCTGGCACGGTGTAGGGATGATTTAGAACAAGCCATTGAATTTCTACCTCACCGGTGAGTCCTCAAATCATGACCATAAAATCTCCCGCACCTGATAAAAACATTCGCTTCGGCAACAGCTTAACTCTCGCTTCCGCTGCCTCACTGCCCTCTTAGTCCTAGGCTGAAAATTCAAGACTTTTCTCTTCCTTTCTCTCTCTCTCTCTCTCTCTCTCTCTCTCTCTCTCTCTCTCTCAAGCCTCTGCCTCCCCTCTCCATCAATGCCCCTCTATGCCCCCAAACGATCTCCTCCCTTCAGGGCCTCTCCCTCTTCAGCTTCTCTTCCCAGCTCTTCTCCATCTCCATCCCTCTGTCTCTCTCTCTGTCTCTCTCTCCCTCCCTCCCTCCGCCCCCCCTCTCATTCTCCAGATTCAATTTTGAAGGACCCAGTGGTGGCACTGGTAACTTCCCCCTAGAAAAGTGATGGTTTCATTTTTACACAGGACGAGGTGAATGGGATCCCCAAAAAGCACCCCTCCAAATATATAGAAAACCACTTTCCTGAATAAACAATGGATTGAATGTATTTGAAAAGCCTCCACCTTTGTTGCTATAAATTTCTTCTCTTCCTTCCTTCTCCCTTAGCCAGTGAGCCCCTTCAGGAGGCCACTGGTTTGGACCCTCAAACTGGGGCCTTCTAAGTCTGGCCACCATCGTCACTAGGCCTGATAGGCCAGGAAAGGCCACCAACATGAGAGTGTGGCACCCAGTCAGTTTCATCCTTCGATCTGTTTCAGGCTCCAAATCCTCAGGTCTGGAGAGAGAGTGGGGCTTAACTAGAGTTTCCCCAAGGGGGAGGAGAGAAAATGGGGAACCCAGTGGCTTTGCTGCATCTAAATCCCTACTACCCCAAAGTCGGTTTAGGCAATGATAGTGTTTCAAAGGATGCTGAAAGCTGAAAAGGGCCCCCTTCATACATACACTCTGCAGCCACTGCCTAGGGCAGAGGAGGGTACAAGACAGCAGGCACCAAGGCCAGGCACCAGGGCCTCAGTGCCCGGCAGCAGCCTCCATTGCCCTTCTAGCCCTTTGATGTGCTGATGGGCTTTGCAGTGCCCTATCGCTGGCTGGGAAGGTTGGGAGCCAATTGGGCTTGCTTACTGGGTCCCAAGGCCTGAGTCCAAGAGTGGGGTGGCCCGACTGGGTGTCCTTCTGCTGGTGGCATCAGATCACTCTCCCATCACACAAAGTTGGTCTCCCTAAGTGCTGACTGGGCCCAAGTGCCTTCTAGAGACCCCTTCCACGTTCCAGTACTGCCCCCAGGCCTAACCAGGTTGTGCAAAACTGCAGAACCCTCAGTTGCCGGGTAAACTTTGCTCAGTGATTCACCACTGCCCATTAACCTGAAAGTTACTTCTCCCGGTCCTGGTCCCTCTTCATGCCCTTTTGGACCCCTTCTGCAAAGAAAATCCTTGCATATTTGTTTAATGAGGCAAAGCTGGTGAGTGGTGTGGGTGGGGCAGAGAGGGGATAGCTTGGGGGCTCCAGAGAGGGGATGGGGGCAGGTGCTCGCCACAACTGAAGGAGGCAAAAATCTTAGAAAAGTCACCGCATGCGCCGAAAAAAACTATAATCGTTCTCGTTTCAGCTTGGTCACCCCCACCCGTGCCGCAGTCGGGTGGCGGGGCGATCGAAGCTGCAGTTTTATAGCGGTAGAGGAAAGAACTCGTAAAATGCTAACAGCTTTTATGCGCTGCGGCATAAACAACAACAGACTCCGGCTTTATTGCGTTTTATAGTTTGTTAAAGAGTTTACAGCCGTTTTTGGGGAGCCGGTTACCCAGCCAATTCCCTCCACACGATAGTTAAACCTTTATCAATAATAAGGAAATTGATCATTAAAGCTTTAAATATGACTACCTCGTTTGTTTGAAAATATGTTTAGGAGAGGAAGCTGTATGATTTGATAACTTGTATTAAAATACCAATTACATTTATAGGACCTTTTAAAACTCGGCGCAATTAAACCGTGTTCTTTTACATTTTTCCGAAGCGACCCTGACATTTAAAAAGACTCGAACTGCCTCGTTAAAATCGCAAAATTAACAGCGTGCCTACGCCTGGCGCGTTGTGTCTGTGCGTGTGCGTGGTTTTTTCCGTGACTCCCCCACATCAGTCTTTGGGGGTGGTCTGGGAAGGTATTTGATTTGTTGTGAGGCGAGAGATATCTCATTAATGTAGGTAGTTAAACAGATTTAATCCGTATTCATTCTCTCTCACCCCCTCTCCCTAGTACCCTCTCTCTCCCCCTCTCTCTCTCTCTCTCTCTCTCTGGGTGTTTTTTTTTCCTTCCCCTCCTTTTTTTCCCCCTCGCGCTCTTCTCACTCCCAGGCGCTCTCTCGCTCTAGCTCTCTCTCTCGCTCGCTCTCTCTCGCTCTCACCCTCGCTCTGCGTTCTGTCCGGGAGGAGTACGGAGAAGCCAATAGGATGCGGGGTCTCTAATGGATGCAAATGATCATGAAAAGACAGTGCAAAATATGAAACAACTCATTTGCAGGGAAGTAAATCACCGAAAACTGTTTATGAACTGGCATCCCTTCTTCGAAATGTAAAGCGAGGACCTCTTTAAGTGGCGGTATATTTTTGTTTGGGGGGTGGGGGGTGGGGGGGGAGGGCGAGCGAGCCGCGGCTGCCATGCAAGCTTAGACTTTTGGAGGCTTCGCTGTCCTTTTCTATTCCTGGAAATCACAAAAAGTGTGGTGGCTTCGAGATCTTCTTCGCCTTTTCTTTCTTTTCTTTTTTCCCCCTCCTCCCTTTCCCTCTCCTTTCCTGGCGAGGGTGACTAGGAGCCGGCGAATCCGCGTTTTTTTTCTCTCTCTCTCCCTCCCTTTCCCCCTCCCCACCCCCTCCCCAACAGCCCCCAACTACAGCCGTCGCCGCCGCCGCCGCCTCAAAATTCAATAAAATGAGCTCTTATTTCGTCAACTCACTGTTCTCCAAATACAAAACCGGGGAGTCCCTGCGCCCCAATTATTATGACTGCGGCTTCGCCCAGGACCTGGGCGGCCGACCCACCGTGGTGTACGGTCCCAGCAGCGGCGGCAGCTTCCAGCACCCGTCGCAAATCCAGGAGTTCTACCACGGGCCGTCGTCGCTGTCCACGGCTCCCTACCAGCAGAACCCGTGCGCCGTGGCGTGCCACGGGGACCCGGGCAACTTCTACGGCTACGACCCGCTGCAGCGGCAGAGCCTGTTTGGTGCGCAAGATCCAGACCTGGTGCAGTACGCCGACTGCAAGCTCGCTGCCGCCAGCGGCCTGGGCGAGGAGGCCGAGGGTTCAGAGCAGAGCCCGTCGCCCACCCAACTCTTCCCCTGGATGCGCCCTCAAGGTGAGCTCGCGACGGGGCCGGCGGGGCAGGAGGGAGACCAGAGGGCCAGAGGCCGGGCAGGGGGCCGGGCAGGCCAGGGCACGTTTCCTTTAGCCCCTAGAAGACGCGCCTGCTCTGTTCAGACGGCCTCCCGCTCCTTCCCTTCTTCCCTTCCTTCCTTTCTCCTTTCTTTCCTTCCTTCTTTTTCTCTTTTTTGTTTCCCTTGAAGGAGGGTCGCTAAGAGACATTTCCTGAACCCATAAACCCCTCACCCTGCCTTACTTTTCTTCTTCTCCCCCTCCCTTTTCCTTCTTTTACTGTTTTATGGGGGGTAGCAGAGAGAGGGTGGTGGGAGTGGGGGCGCTCAACTTTTGCACTTCTCAATTGCTTTATAGTTTAATTACCCTGAAGAAACTTTTCTTCTGGGGCAGAGGCTCTGGGGGCTTTTCAAGGTGGGTCCATTCGTCCCCATCCCGGCTTTTTTATTCTTATTTATCCCCCTCAGCCACATCCTTCCTTCTAAAGTTTATGGCACTTTTAATAGATTTGAGCCACCCCCGCCCAACTCTCTGGTGCTGGTTATCAGAGGAGGGGGCTCCCCCTTTCTGGCTGTTAGATTCAGTGGTGTGCCTCCTGGCGCCCCCGCCCCCGCGCGGGGTAGAAGGTCCCCTGCCCTTATTATACTGGTCTCCTAGGCTGGTTCACGAATCTTCCAACCTTCTCCGTCTCTATCCCCCTCCCCCACCCTCCCCTCCCCTCTGTCTCGCCCTTTCCCCCATTCCCAGCAGCCGCTGGACGCAGACGAGGCCGACAGACCTACAGCCGCTACCAGACCCTGGAGCTGGAGAAGGAGTTCCTATTTAATCCCTATCTGACTCGCAAGCGGCGGATCGAGGTGTCGCATGCGCTGGGACTGACAGAGAGACAGGTCAAAATCTGGTTCCAGAACCGGAGAATGAAGTGGAAAAAAGAGAACAACAAAGACAAGTTCCCCAGCAGCAAATGCGAGCAGGAGGAGCTGGAGAAACAGAAGCTGGAGCGGGCCCCGGAGGCAGCGGACGAGGGCGACGCGCAAAAGGGCGACAAGAAATAGGCTCCAGCTGGGACTGTCAGGGCCGCGACCACCCTCCGTCCGCGGGTCCCTGGACCTCGCCGCCGTCGCCTGCCCGAGAGAGCTCTGGCCCCGGGAGCCGGCCCGGAGCCTGGCCTCCCACCGCAGCGTCCCCGCCGCGCCAGTCCCCGCTAGTGGTAGTATCTCGTAATAGCTTCTGTGTGTGAGCTACCGTGGATCTCCTTCCCTTCACTTGGGGGCCAGGGGGAAAGACAAGGATTGTAAGCAAGGACTCCCTCGCCTAGCGAGGGTGAGCGGCTGCGGCTTGGCTGAGCCCCCCTCCCCCACGTCCCCGCCCTGTGTAAAAAGCCTCCTTGTGCAATGGTCTCTTTTCCTTTGAACGTGCTTCTTTGTAATGACCGAGGTACTGATTTCTGCTAAGTTCTCCCAACAACATGAAACTGCCTATTCACGCCGTAATTCTGTCTCCCTCCCTCTGCGCCTCTCTCTCTCTCTCTCTCTCTCTCTCTCTGTATATATATTCTCTCTCTCTCTCTCTCTCTCCCCCTTACTCATTTCCCCCTCCCACCCCTCTGTCCCCGCTGCCCTCCCTAGCTCGCTGGTTTTCTCTATAGCTTCTCTCTTTTCCTTCCCTCACGCCCCGCCTTTGGTTTGACAATTTTGTCTTAAGTGTTTCTCAAAAGAGGTTACTTTAGTTAGCATGCGCGCTGTGGGCAATTGTTAAAAAGTGTTCTTAGGTTTACTGTGAAGAGAATGTATCCTGTATCCGTGAATTGCTTTATTGGGGGGAGGGAGGGCTAATTATATATTTTGTTGTTCCTCTATACTTTGTTCTGTTGTCTGCGCCTGAAAAGGGCGGAAGAGTTACAATAAAGTTTACAAGCGAGAACCCGAGACTGGCCTGGCCCGCGCTCCTCATTTGCTCCTGGCGCCTTGCAGAGCTGGGGGTAGCCGGTCACTCGGCTCCTGCACCCGCCAGGCCAGGCGGCAGAGAGGAGGGGGCGGGGGCTGGAGGCAGGTGGTGCGAGTCCCTTGGCCCAGGGGCGCAGAGGGTGAGGGAGGCGGCTGCGCGTGATTGGAGGAGAGAGGAACGAGCGCGGGGGGTGGGGGGCGGGGAGCCAAGAGAAACCCCCTCCCTTCGCGTTCCGAGGCTGCCTGGCCCTGGAGACCCGGAGCCCAGGCCACGCTGGAGAGATGCGCCTGGGCTGGTGGCTATATCCCTGCAACCTCCCTCTTTGTTTCTGAGTGCCCTCTCCTATGTGTGTGTGGGGGGCGGGGGGCGGTAAAGGTGGAGTGTAGGGCTGCTGAACAAGCTTAAGCTTACATATTTTTATTTCCCGGACTCTGATGCGGGGGGAGTAGGAGGAGAGGTGAGATGCTCTTCCCCGCCTCTCCCTCTCTGGAACTTGATCACTTTTGCCAGCTCCGAGGTCGTGGCTCGCCGCCTTCCTTCCTTCGCTCCCTCTGCTTCTCCGGCAGCCGCTCCACGGAGGCATCCGCCTTCCGGAACCAGGAGAGCAGCATACCGGTCCACCCTCCTCCCTTCCTTTCTTACCACCTACCCCACCCCCTTCCTTTTTTATTTTTCAACCTTTTTATTTTTTTTTTTAGCCACCAGAAGCCGCAGCATCCCACGCCCGTGAGCTGGATTCCACGCCTCTGGGAATATCCACGAAGCCTGGCTCCTTCCCTGCCCATATGTTTGGGGCACCGAGAGAGAGCCTGACGCAAGGCTCACCTCGTTTCTCACCTCGAGAGAACCGAGCCGAGTCCCCCCAAAGGCCCAGCCAGGCCAAACTGGCCCGGATTAATAAAGACCTGACCTGCTCGCACCCACCCGCCCCGTTGCGTGCAATCTCTGCGTTTGTTTCTCGCTGGGTAACCGGCTGGGGAGGTGGGGTGGGGGACGACAACACAGGTCGCTCAGAGGTTATTTTCTCTTTTATTCAGTCTCTTCCTCCCCAAATCTCGCCTGCAAGCTGCCTCCAGCCCACGGAGGTCGACAGCAGCCCTTGAGCCCCCAACCCCAATCCACAGGGCTTGGCTTCCCCATTCATTATTGATCATATTTTATAAATCCAACGCCACACAATTTTTTCCACATTACCGGGAGCCGTGGGGAGGCTGCCCGGCCATTGGCGGAGGGGACGTCACGAGGGCGGAGTCACGTGGTCCAGAGAGGAAAAAGGGGGTCCTTTTTGGTGTAAATCTGGACTCTAATTCTGTAATATATCAAGGAATCTCGTAAAACCGACACTAAAACGTCCCTGCCTACAAATCATCCGGCCAAATTATGAGTTCATTGTATTATGCGAATGCTTTATTTTCTAAATATCCAGCCGCAAGTTCGGTTTTCGCCACCGGAGCCTTCCCCGAACAAACTTCTTGTGCGTTTGCTTCCAACCCCCAGCGCCCGGGCTATGGAGCGGGGTCGAGCGCTTCCTTCTCCGCCTCGATGCAGGGCTTGTACCCCGGCGGGGGGGGCATGGCAGGCCAGAGTGCAGCTGGCGTCTACGCAGCCGGCTATGGGCTCGAGCCGAGTTCCTTCAACATGCACTGCGCACCCTTTGAGCAGACTCTCTCCGGGGTGTGTGCCGGCGACCCCGCCAAGGCGGCGGGCGCCAAGGAGCAGAGGGACTCGGACTTGGCGGCCGAGAGTAACTTCCGGATCTACCCCTGGATGCGAAGCTCAGGTAACGCCGCGCACCGAGCTGTCCCAAGCCACTGTGGACCGGGCCCATTCCCCGGAAGGCGCCCCCTTCCCGGCCAAGTGCCCCTTTCTGCTTCCACAACGCTCCCGGCAGAAGGTCGGCCCTGGGGACCTGGCACTCCCTTGGCCGCGCGACCCGGCGCGCCGCCCCCACCCCCATTTTTGCTTGGTGCTCTCAGGCTCGCTCTGCTTCTCGGTGGATCTCTCACCGCTGACGCCGCGGCGCTCCAAGCCCTCAGCTCGACTCCCACCCTTCCTCCTGGCCTTTTAGCTTTAAATATTTATCAGCCGCGCCGGCACGGGCTGGAGATGAAGCCGTTTGTCTTGAGGAGGAAGGTTGGGGTTTGCAGAGAATAGCCATTAGGGTCTCCCCCCTCCCTTCTCCTTCACCCCGCTGGGAATCTCAGCTTTGGGTGTGTCCCCCAGCCCCAGCTAGGATAAGGTCTGGGGGAGGGGACCGCAGCTCTGAGCAATTCTCCCCTCCCCCTTCCTTCCCAGCCAACCATGCTCCCCCATTATTCCCTTCTGGACAATTAGAGGTGGGCTCTAGAGGCATGGCAGGAGGAGGGGGTATGAGAGATTAGGATCCAGCCAGGGACACAGAGCCAGAGACAGGTGGAGAGAGGTGGGGGCTGAGGCCAAGAGGGATGAGAATCCCAATCTGGAACTTGGGAAGGGGCGGCAGAACTAGAGAAAGGGGCAGAGACCTCATGGGAGTACAACTGGCTTCCTTGGGTGCCCTTCCCAAGGCTCCTAAGTGCCCCTGGAGAACTGACCAAGTTTGCAGGTATTATTCCAAAAGGGTGAATATCCTCTTGACAGAGGCACTAGGACTTTATGAAGCCAAAAGGATAGTTAGAAAGTACAGGCCATTGAGCCAGTTTGTAGGGATGCTTGTAGGAGCCCCAAGAGCCCAGAGGCTCCGTGGGGTCTCCTGACAAGCCTGTCCCAGACATCCTTCTTAATGCTGTCCTGGACTCAGGGTCCAACCCCAAAGTCTAGAAGACCCAAGACTTGTGGTCAGAGGCTCCCAGTCTAACCAGGGTTGGTGGCCAGGAGAAGCCCAGCTCTTACGCGGTCAGTATTCGTGGTCACGGTCCCCATTACCCGCTCCATAATTCAACTGCCTTTCTGGTTGATTTATCAAAGCCTAAATTTTTCTGCTCCTAAACATTTTAGCTTGGCTTTTATCTGACTTGAAATTGGAGCCCCTAGTCCCTCCTCCTACCTGTTTCTTCTCTGGAGGGTTAGAACCAGCACCTCTCCCAAGCCTCCTCAGGACTTAGGGCCTAACCTGGGAAGCTCCCCTTTGCCCTTCAGCCCCCACCACCCAGATACTTCATGTTCTACCCTAACCCAGGCCGCTGTCTCTCCTCTCTCCCTGTACCTTCCTGGGGGCTTGAAGATTGCTTTGGAGAGCTGGGTTGTCTAAGTAGGTGGGCAGACAGGACAGTTGGCCTTGTCAGAACCTCAGCCACTCACTGGAAGATAGTCATCAGAGGGCAGCGGCTCTCAGACCAACTCCATGTTCCAAGGAAATCTGCAAATTCTTCTGCTTCTCCGCATTCCATAACAGGCTGGCAGGGAGGGAAGGAGGAGAACTTGTGGAGGGAAGGAGAGGAACAAGTGGACCTATGAAGATTCTTTATCTTCTTTTCCTTTGGGAAAAAACACTGAGACCAGGCCTAGAGCCATACTCCAGGGTTACTTGCATGGTTTCCATTGCCCCCTACCCCAAAGACCCTCAGAGTCAGCATCCAAAAAGGAAGGCTTGGGGTCCCTGGTTAAGCTCTCTTCATTGTACATATCCTCCTTGGGCACTGGGCCTCTAACAGCCAGCGAGTTAGATGTTGGATTCAGAACCCCTAGGTTGAAACACTTCTTGGCTGAAAAATGAGAATATTTGCCTTCGGAGGCCCCTAGAAAGGTCTGCACACTGGGAGAGGGCAGGCATAGGTTGGGGTATGGAAAGTGAGAATTTGGTTTAGTGGGGAAATGAGCTCTTCCAACCGCTGACTTCAAATCACACACGGGGTCTGAGAGGAGGGATATGGGCACTCTCGTGGCTTTTTCCGCACACACTGATTTTTATCCTCTAAACACTGTGTTCAGGGACGGACCGCAAGCGAGGCCGCCAGACCTATACGCGCTACCAAACCCTGGAGCTGGAGAAGGAGTTTCACTACAATCGCTACCTGACGCGGCGGCGGCGCATCGAGATCGCGCACGCGCTCTGCCTCACGGAAAGACAGATCAAGATCTGGTTCCAGAATCGCCGCATGAAGTGGAAAAAGGAGAACAAGAATGTGGGCCCCGGGGTTACCGGCCAGGACAAGGCCGAGGCGGAGGAGGACGAGGAAGAGTGAGGGACGGAGAAAGGGTAGAGGACGAGAGAGACGAGAAGGGAGAGAGGGAGAAGCCCAACTCTGAGAACTGAACTAGGAAACTCAAATCAAATGGGGGGAGGGATCTATTTAAATGGAAAGCAGGTAATTTTTTTTTTTAAGGAGAAAAGGTGAAATTTTGGTTTCTAACACTGAAAAAAAAAACTACCTATAGAAAAGTCTGCCGTGTTTGTTTTGTACAATATGGGAAGGACATCATCTACCTGTTCTGTAGCTTTCTGGAATTTGCCTCCCTTTTTTCTACGTCCCTATTGTAAGGTCTTTGTAAAATCTCGCTGTTTTGTAAGCCCCCCTCTTTGACGCTGTCTTTGTGGTCTGTGGGTCTAGACTAATGTGTGTTGTCCATCCCCCCTCCTGAGTCCCCGCCTTCCCAGTAGCCCCACTGAGGGGGCTTTAGGTAGCCCCAAGGACCCACGGACTAGCTTGAGTGTCCTCTTTGTGCACTTGGCCTGCCCTGATGCTTCTTGTTCCCCCCAACCCCTGTGATCCTCTTTACATTGTATGTGTATCTGAAGAACAGAGAAATAAAACACAATTTAAAATATAAATAGATGCTCTAGTTTCTGTGACTAAGGCTGGGAGGGGGTTATGGTTAGCCTTCCATCCTACCACTTCTCTGCTCAAATTTCTGCAGTCCATCCAGTACTTTCTGTGCTGGGGTCTGCTTTTTTTTTTCTGGTGCCCAGGCGCTGGGGGCAGCTGACTAGTGAACCCGATATCACACACGTTCCCTTTACATTCTTTTATACATGCTGACATAGGCAAATAGATACAATCACACATATTTACAGGTTGACATCATACATAAATAAATATACACATTGTCACATACAGCCACAAAGAAACACCCATATTCATATGTTCGCAAATACACATATAGGCATTCACACATCCCAACTCCATGCCCAGACACATGCATTCATGTTCACATACACTCATAAGTAAACACACATTCACACTCACTTACAGACACATTTATATATACCAATTACATTCACACATTGGCTTATAAACACGCAGATTCACATTTGCCCCCAAGTAAACACATCCATGAGTCAACATGCTCTGTCACACACATTCACAAAACCAAACCAAACTCCCACAGTTCCACGAACTTCCTCAACCTGACTTTCAAGCCAAGCTGGGGCTTGGCGGTGCCACTGGGGCCCAAACAGGGCTGAAATGCAAAGTGCTGGGCCCCTTACGAGGAAGAGCTGGGCGGTGTTGGGCAGAGGCCAGGCGGGCAGCACAGACCTCACCGCGGCCGAGAGAGGCCTCCAATGCCAGGATACTCCCGGATTATTCGGCAAACAATTATTGAAAGAGCTATTCGGTTATTTTATTTCCGTTTATTTTACTTTAATTTATTTTAATGTATCTATTCTAAATTAACACAGTGATCCAAATAAAACTTTTTAAATGGGGAGGGCGGGAAAACTGAGCCCCAAGGGCGAAAGCCTGAGCGGCGAGTTTACCGGCTAGTGTGGCCGCATCCCGGCATTCTGAGCCTCCCGCACCACCAGCCCCCGCTCTGCCTGCTTCCTCCGCGCCTTTCCGCCGGCTCTCCGCGCCGCCAGCAACCTGGAATCTTCTCCGGAGCACAGAGAAAGAAAGAAAGAAGAAAAACATTTTGGGGGAGGTTATTTCGTTTCCTGAATTTAGGTGCTAATAGCTTAATTCAAAATATGGGAGTATTTCGGAGGACCTGTGAAACACGGGGTGAATTTTGTTGTTCGTGCTATGGCTTTTGCTCCCAAAATAACCTCTGGTTGAGTGATTAAAAGCTCGGAGGTTGGCTTCTAAGCAGCTAGACTTGCGGAGCTGATTTTTGGTATTTATTCCATTATAAATCTTGGGTTATTTAAATTTAAAGAACAGCTTACGGACAGAATAGGGGAAGAGGGTTGGAAGGCAAGCATGTTTTAGAATCTGTTTAACTTGAATTTGTAAGTTAAGGGCCCCTGAACCTGCAGTGTCTCCACAAATGACCAAAAAAAAACCCTGGAGAGCACGTGGAGTTGTCAGTGGGAACCTGGGCACGCCGGCATTTGGGTGGAAGAGGCAGGATTCAGCCTCCTCCAATCTCTCGGGTGCAGAGGCAAGAATCTGGTTGCTACACTGTCCACCTTGGCCTCCATCAGGGCCACCTTTCCTTCCCCGTGTGAAAACTAGGCCCCAGGGGACTTAGGACCCCCACAGCTGCAATGCTGCAAGCCTCACAGGTGGAGATCCCCTCATAAATAGGGCTGGAAATGAGGGGGGCTTTAAGAGGAGGAGAGGGGGCACTGGAGCTTTCATTTTGCCTTGATGCAAGTGGCAACTCCAGACAACAGCTGCTGCTCCCGACTTAACCCCAACTGCCTTAGAATGGTACCCGTATGGAGAATTTAGGGTGAATTTTTACTAGAAGATGGGGCCAGAGCTCCTGTGAGAATAGGGAGGTTCTAATAAGAACACCCTTCCCAGATGGATCTTTGTGGCTCCTCGGTCTGATCGCCTGCACCCCAATTCTCACCCTTTCTCAGATTGGGGTTTCCCCAAAAAAGGAGAAGGAGAAGAAAAGAAGATGGCGACTGAGAAAAGGGTTGCTGGTGGAGCAGCCATGAAGAAATGCAATAAATTCCTTGTTGTTTTATGAAAATTTACAACTTTGTGATAGAAGTTTATGAGTGGTTGAATCCAGCGATTGGCCGGCGCCGGTCATGTGGCCGGGCGATCGTGAACATGAACTTTTTATCATTTCCCTGGTGGTTATAATGCAGCATTCTTTTGGACACCACACCTAGGTCGGAGCACTGTCGTCCTTCAGGGCTCCAGCCTCTTGATATTTTTATACTTCAGTATCAGCTCGATAAAGCAAAAGAGAGAGAGGAAGAGAGAGGGGAAGAGGAAAGAAGAGAGAGGGAAGGAGGGGGTGGGAATTACACAAAAGAGAACCAAAAATAATTTTAATTCCTAAGTTAATTTGCGTGCTGATCTAGGATTTTAGTCATCATGGAGGGTAAATGGACTATCTGCCCAGGACCGCAGCCTGATACCATTTTTCAAAGCCAGAACTTAGTCCATTTTCTATGCAAATATCAGAAAAGAGAAACACCCTCCCAAGTCAGAGAAGGGGAAGCGACGGCTCTCAGGTTGGGACAATATTATCTGGAAGATGAAGAAACCGAACGCTCTTTTTTTTTTTTTCTTCCTCCCCACCCCTTTCAATCCGAGGATAGAAACACCACGGTCTGCAAAGGTAAGGGAGATTCTACAATATTCTTATTCTTTCGCCTCGATTTTGTAGAGGATGGGGCTTGGGTTTGTCTCCATCCTCCGCCGTCCAAGACCGGGCTGAACCCCACCTCTGGGTGCTGCAGGGAGCGACTTTCCAGGAAATTTGGTGATCGAAAGAGGGGTGGCTGCTTCCTGGAGGGGGACCCAAGGCAGGGGAGATGGGAGGAGGAACCGAAAGGGGCCACGGAGGCGAGCTCTTAGTCGCCTTTTTAAGCGAGGAGAGGCTGAAGCGAGGGGTTTTCGAAAGAGGATGGGGGTGTCTGGGCTTCCGGGCTCTGGCAAAAGCCCGTTGCTACGGCCTCTGTGGGTTTGCGCCCCCTCCCCCGCCCACTATCCCTCCCTCGTTTTGGCCTCCCCTAATTGCCCCCGCTCTGTTCTCTTGCCCGGTTCGGGAATCGGCAGTTTCCCGGCAGCATTGGCACGAGGGGCGGTGGCGCTGAGGGACGTCCTGGTCTCTGGAGGGCCTGGAATCTCCGCAGAGGCCGGCGAGGGCAAGGAAGCGGCTAGAGAGAACCAGAAAGAACAATTTACAGAGAAATGCTCATTATCTCCCTCGGAGACATTTCTGAAATTAAAGGGCTGTAAGTGGAGGCACCCAAATCGAGAGACCCCCCCCCCCAGGAAGCCTGCCTGAGAATGCCCCCATCTCTCTCGCCTCTCCAGCAGGAGGGAGCCTCGCTCTGCAGGGAGACAATTTTGTGGTTTTTAACGCGGTAGGTTACAGCGTGTTGGTTTCGGTGCAATATTGATTCTGTTATTTGTGTTTTATTGGTACGGGGTGTGTGGATTTCGGTGGAGAAAATGGCCATGTGTGTGTGTGTCTGAAGTGAAAACATTTCAAACTTTCCTGGATCCAAACCTGGTGATTGTGAAGAAGCTGTTTAGCGTGTTGTTGTTTTAGGCTTGTAAACAAAAACAAAAAAGAACAAAATAAAAAAGAAAACCCAGTTGGGGACCTGATGGTGTCTGGACTGGAAAGCTGCCTGGTGCTGAGCTCAGACAGCTAGTCCGGTCCCTCCTCCGGCGCCTGATTTCATTACCCAGCCAGGCCTCTTGGGGAGGAGGGGAGAACCTTAGGGCGGGAGACAGAGATTCCTAAAGTAGCTGGTGGGGTGGAAGAAGGTGCAAGCAGCTAGTTGAGGACTTAAAAATAGAGAGGTCTTCTGCGGGAGCCTTAAGCCAAGAGATAAGAGAGACTTTGGGCGCTGAGGGCAGGTTTACAGGAATAGGTGATTTGCTTTTCTCTTGTAAAATACCAGAGCCAGAGCGTTCAGCCTCGGGCCTCTGGCTGCCCAGGGAATATGGGGTCTGGGGTTTTGGAGGGGGATATTAGCCCTCTCAATCCTGAGCTGGGGACAGACATATGCAGCCACTTGTGGCGTGGGAGGGGGCCCTGGTGGATGCCTTCCCAGCAGGCGTGGACTGGGTACCTGGAGGGACCTCTTGCTGCGCAGCCAGAGAAGTTCTCGGCACTCTGAACCTATTCTCAAAGGGAAAATTCCCCAAACCTACCCAGACTAAAGGTCTTTTTCTCCTGTAGTCTCGGTGAGTATAAATCATCCTTTAGACAGTTTGCTCTGACCCAAATTATGCGGTTTGCTGCCATCTACCGTCCATTCGGAGACATGCGACTTTGGCAAGCCACGCCAACGCTGCCTGAACCGTGCCCAACGCCGGGAGCACCGCCGCTCAGGTTCGGCGGAATTTGGGGGACTTGGGGCCCAGATTGTCGCTTTCCGCTAGATCTTGGTTCACGTCCGCTTGCGTATGGATTAGAGGACAAATGTCTCCTCCCCTTCGCCCGCCCCATCCTGGCTCCAAATCTGGCGGCTGGCTGGGGAAAGCAGCTTTTTCTAGGGCATATTTAAAGAGGACTAACACTGCATCCCGCGGGCAGGAGGCCGTGAATCCAAGGGTTGGGGGATCACGGTCGCGAGCCCACCAGCCTCCACTGCAAGCGCGAGAGGGGTTCATCCCGGCTGCTCCAGAGATCCGAAGCCAAGGCTGTTCAAGGTTTATTTGGTTTTCTTTTCCGTCAAGGGAGGTACCAGCAGAGGAGGCGACGGCCGGGCAGTTCCACTCGGTTGTCAAAAGACAACCGGGTCTGTGTTCTCGGGGTTGGCTTGTGAGTCTTGGTCAGTTCCTTGGCCGGTGAGTCCGTGATGAAGTAATTGAGCCGAGTTTTCTGGAAACTGTTGGTGTCTGCAAATGAGCAAGGGCCCCCTCCCTTATTCGTCATCATTTCAAGGGAAATAGACACAAATATACTTCGGGGGGAAAAAATGGGAGTGGGAGTGGAGATCAATTACTAAGGAACCAAACCATTGTAATTTCCGCGTTGCGGACCCCTCACACTCGCCTAACCTGACCATTTTCCCAGAAGGGGTGGTGAGGGCGGGGGTCCTCGCCTCTGCTGCGGGTTTGAATATTGGCTCCTGTCTCACGGGTTACTGATTAGCTCGGGCTTTCAATCGGCAGGAGGAAGCTCTGGCTACTTCTTTCAAGGTGCTGTGGCCCCAGTTCCTGGGCGGGGGCTCCAGGAAGTTGCCTGCAGTGCCAGGCAGGCCGAGGTGTTACTAGGGTCTGGCTCGAAGCCGGAGGCGCTGCCGAGGTCGAGGGGCCTGGCGGTGCTGGGGGCAAACACGCCGGCTGCCGCCCTCGGCGCCTGGTGAGTCTGGGCCACAGGGGCAGCCCTTTCAGTTTTTCTGCAGCAAGAGTGACTTTTCCGCGGCTAGAAAGCCCAGCCCAGTGCGGGAGGCCCCGAGGGAGCACGCCTTAAATGTCTTGGGCGCCTCGGGGATTTTTTTTTTTTCCTGTGGGCAATCCAAAGGACAGGTGGGGAAGGGAAGGAGGCTGGTACGGAGAGTTGAAACACTTCAGGGCTCTTAGGGTGCTGGTGGGCCTGTGGGGAGGAAACTGAGAGAGCGAGCTGAGCGCCACCGCCCTCCTCATCCCCCCACCCCCAGATCAGAGACCACACGTTCATTTGCATAATGGAAATGAGGTCTTTGTACCACTCCGGACTGGCCCATTTTAAGGCCAAGTCCCATCTAAGCAGCTCCCAAAGGTTGGGAGTGGCCACACTTCTCCCTCTAGGAACATTTATGTTCTCTAAACCTAGAGAATCACAGAATTGGGTTGAGATGTTTTAATTCACCCCACCCCAGCCAGACCTGGGAGCGGGGGTGGGCCAAGGTGCCCACAACCCAAAGGGCTGGGTGTAGGAGAGCTTTGTAGTTGAGAGGAAAGGGGAAGCATGGGCAATGTCTCAATTCCCCGACCCCTCGACACACACAGGCGAATACTCCTCCCTGAGGTTGCTGGTAAAGGAGAATTTTACCCCTGAGCTGAATACAACTGAGACATTTCTGTGGGAGCTGGAATGTATATTCATCCACAGGACGGCAGATTCGCAGCATAGAAAACTACAATTATAAATCCTGCCTGTGGGGATTCTGTACAATCCTTCTGTTATGTACTCAAGACTTGGTACACATTTATATCCACCTCTCCATACACATGCTTCCTCATAGAGGCAGGGAGAGATACCCCAGACCAGCAGACAGCTGTACTCGCTGTGTATTTACATATTCCCCCTTGGAGACAGTCAGACACAGGCGGCAGTGGACCGAACCACAGACAGATTCGTAGAGATCTGGCTCCAGAAACCAGGCGGTCTCTGGCCCAGCTATGCCTGCCTGCCTGCTCTTTCTCCCAAACAAACGGATCAGAGGAATAAACGCTCATAAATACCTCTGGGCTTAGATAAGAGCGATGAGGCGCTATTTCCTTTCATGCTGGACTCCAGGCGCCCAGGCCTTGCCTTTGTGGCTCCATCTCGCGACAGGCAACCTGCAGAAGTGAGGTTAATTTGGGGGCTGTGACTCTAAGGATAAGTTTTTTTCCTGCTTCTATCACAGGGGAATCTTACTTCATCCAGACTTCACAGGCAAGCCCACACCTTCCAGTCCTAGGATGGGGACATTGTGGCTGGGAAGGAGGCAGAGAAGACTGAGGTCCAAGGCCCAGCTTCCGTGGCAGTGGGAGGGAGGCGCATATGGGCACTATCCCACCTTGCTTCTTCTGCCCAAATGTCCCCCATTCCTCTGTAGGAGTGGGCCCAATCGCAGCTAGATTGGAGCATTTATTATTCTCCATCATGAGGAGGCTCGAGCTTATTTTTCTTAAATCTTGATTAAACAGCCATAGAGTCAGGCTAAGAAGGGATTGTCACTTGGCTATGAAGGTCCAGCTTAGAAGTTGTCCTGAGTTCAGGAAGCCCTTGCAGGCTGCTTTGTAACCAACTGAGTTCCCACTCTTAGTCACCAACCTCAGCCCTCTACCATTTTCCCTAGTGTCTTATATCATCTTCAGTGGGCAGAGCTGGCCCACAAAAAGGAGTCCAAAGAGCAGTTTCAGAGGAGGCTCAGCCTGGCCCTTTCATCATCAGATTTTGTTCCACATCCTGACCCACTCCTGGCCCCAGGTCCAAAGGTGGTCACCCTTTACTGCCTGGCATCCACATGCATATAGAAACATCAAAAATGCAGCTCAGTCTTCTAGCCTGGCTTCAATGCTTATTTTCCTTAGATGAGAGCCGGAGATGTACACTCTCTCTCACACCCAAGCTTTGTACAGCAGTAAAGCTGGTGATCCACACATGAGATGTGCGAGAGATCGTAGAGATGCTGAGAAGGGTAGTGAGCATCTGCAGAGGGGATGCTGGCTGATAGTTGTAAGCTGCTTGCTAAGTCCTCAGGAGGACTCGAACACCCCTCCCTCCTTATAAAACTAAACCAGAATCAAGTCTTGGGAAACAGTTAATTTAAAAAAGAACTGCCAGCTTCTGAAGAGACTTGGGAAAGGAGCAAGGGCCCTTCTCTTCCTGATGGTCTCTGATCACCTCAAATATCAGGAGAGTTTGAGGACACTAAATTGAAGGAGGACCGATTTCTTCCCTATACCCACTTTCTGAGACAACCTTGATTCCTAAGAAAGTGTAGCCCAGGATATTAGTAAGTCTTTGCTGGGTAGGAGGTGGGGGTGGAGTGAGGGTTGCAAGAAGGTTAGGAACCAGATAAACCTAGGCTGGGGGATGCCCCTCATGACTCCTCTCCATATCTCCAAGTGAGGAGAGGACTAGTCCCTTTCACCAGTGCCCCTTCCTGTGCCAGGAGTAAGCAGTGCATACAAGAACCATACGAAATGTCTTAGGCAGCAGCAGCCATAGCCTTCAAAAAAGCTCCTAGCCTAGCTGAAGAGCCAGAGGGAGAAGCTTGAGCTCAGACCCTCCTCCCATTCCCCAGCCATCCAGGGTCTTCTGGGCAGCAGGCTTTGGCCTGCTGCTCAGACCATAAGAGTTGCAGAGAAGTAGGAATAATAACAACCCCGGGCTTGGAAGAGATAGAGTAGATCTGAGAAACAAAAAGAACAGAACGGTTTTCAAAACCTGGAGAAAAGATAATTTCTTCTTCACCTGTCTTTTCCTGGAAATGATGCTAATTAGTGGAGAACTCTTCTCCCCTTGGACCAACACAAAATCCTAGAAACAAACCTTCTTCTTTAGTTCTCTCCTAGCCCGATTGAGATTCGAGATTCAGGGACTGTTACCCTTCCTTTGAGGGAATGGGGCTCAAGCAACGCAGGGGTTAACTTTTCTGAAACACAATTAACTTTTTCCTATCCTGCGTGGGGAGGGGAGGGATATATTTATTTAATCACTAGGGGATGGGGTGGTCTCAATCCAAAGCTCCCTCCTCCCTCAAAGGCACAGACGCCTCTTTCGCAGATCCTACGTAGGTGGAACAGGACGTGTCGTGTTGTTGGGGGGAGAGAGAGAGAAAGGAGAAAGAGAAGAAGGAGAAAAAAAAAGGTTGATAGGTTTGTGCGCGGGTCCCTCGTGCGGTCTGCGCTCCTCCTGGGTGCTATTTGACAATTCCTGCCTCTGCCATTGGTCAGTGTTGGATCAGATGGTTGTATTTCCTTCTGGCCCTCACTGGCACCTCGCCATCCCCCCTCAGCTAAAACCCAATCTCAGATATACTACTAATAGGCGCGGCGCTCGGACTATAAAACACAACAAATCATAAACCCGGCGGAGCAGCAGCGGCCGTGCGCGCCTCCCTCCCAATGAGTTCCTATTTCGTGAACTCCACCTTCCCCGTCACTCTGGCCAGCGGGCAGGAGTCCTTCCTGGGCCAGCTACCGCTCTACTCGTCGGGCTATGCGGACCCGTTGAGGCACTACCCCGCGCCCTATGGGCCCGGGCCGGGCCAGGACAAGGGCTTTGCCGCTTCCTCCTATTACCCGCCGGCGGGCGGCGGCTACGGCCGAGCGGCGCCCTGCGACTATGGCCCGGCGCCGGCCTTCTACCGCGAGAAGGAGTCGGCCTGCGCGCTCTCGGGCGCCGACGAGCCGCCCCCCTTCCACCCGGAGCCGCGGAAGTCCGACTGTGCGCAGGACAAGAGCGTGTTCGGCGAGCCCGAGGAACAGAAGTGCTCCACGCCGGTTTACCCGTGGATGCAGCGGATGAATTCGTGCAACAGTGAGTAAGACTCCGCGGTTGCCGCAACCCCACGGGCCCCCACCCCGGGAGACAGAATTGGCGAGACCCCCATTCTCCCACCGAGTGTGGGATGGGCATCTCAGAAGCGAAGAGAAGATGGGGAGCCTGTATTGGATCTCCCGCTCTGTCCGCTCACCCTCAGGAGTTACAAAGTTTGCAAAGTCTCAGCCGCACTCCGAGGCAGGGAAGCAAGTGGATTCTCGGGGGCGTCAGGCCAGAGCCGGGATTGTGGGTCAGGGCAGGAGCAAGGAGCAGAAGTCACGCGCTTGGCTTTCCCTTGGCGCCCCCAGACCTGGTAGGGTCCCCCACCCAAAGACTATTACATTGAAAATGGAGCGCGTCATGGGAAGGGGGGCAAGTGATGCTGGCAAGGGATAGTGGAGTCCGGGACTGTTTCCCTGCGGGTGGGGGGCTGGGGAAAGATGAGGCACCAGGAAAGAGGCGATAGTCAGAGGAGGGTGTGAGAATAAGGGGAGGAAAGAGAAGGGGAGCGGGTGGAGGGGGAGAGAGGGAGAAGCAGGCGCCTGGGTTTCAGGTTGGATTATTTGTCGGCCTGAAGTCCCAAATTGATGTCCATTAGCGGGACACGAAAGTGAGGAGCAGTTAATGCCGACTATGGATCGATCCACGTCATTACGGATTAAGGATGGGAATCTATCACACGGGGGGCGGGGGGGGGTAGCTAGAAGGATGGGGAGAAAAGGATGCAGCCCGGGGGAAGAGACACACCTGGTCAGTACTTCCCCAGCTCCTCCCCCTAGTCTCAGGTGGAATTTTAAGCTGCTCCTCCCATCCCCCACCGAGAGTCTAGACTGGAGGCGCAGGCCTAGGAGACCCGGAGGGAATCTGGAGGGGGCGCTGGAGGGTGAGGAAGTGGGGAGTAGGGAACGGGGGAGTGGAGGGCATCCCGGGACAGGCTGGAGTCCATGTTTGAGAGTCGAGTGGGGGAGGGGGGGCTCTGGCCCTGGTGACCCTAGGCCTCAGCATCCCTTCTCCGTGTAACAGGTTCCTCCTTTGGGCCCAGCGGCCGCCGCGGCCGCCAGACCTACACGCGCTACCAGACCCTGGAACTGGAGAAGGAGTTTCACTACAATCGCTACCTGACCCGGCGGCGGCGCATCGAGATCGCGCACGCCCTGTGCCTGACCGAGCGGCAGATAAAGATCTGGTTCCAGAACCGGCGCATGAAGTGGAAAAAGGAGAGCAAACTGCTCAGCGCGTCTCAGCTCAGTGCGGAGGAGGAGGAAGAAAAACCAGCCGAGTGAAGGGGCCGGAAAGGGAGAAAGAGGGACGCGAATGAGAGGCCCGTGGGGAGCCGAGGGCTGCAGAGAGCCCTGTGAAGGCTCTGCGGGCGGGGGGAGCCCAGGAACCTGCTCTCCAGCACACGACAGGCGGGGCCCAGCGCTCTCCTGGACGCCCCCACCCGCAGAGCTCTCGCTGGGTTGTGGGAGGCCGGGCCGCCTGAGCCCAGCCAGCACCCCGCGCGCCCCCTCCATCCCCGCGGAACCCGCCTCAGCCCGATCAGACTTCCCCTGTGAGAACTGAGGACCGGACTCACTTGATGTTTTTTGGAAGCAGAGCAAAATACTCTTGTTCGTGTCGCGTCTCTTTTCGTCCCTGTTCCCTGTGCACGGTTCAATGGTAGCTTCGCAGTTCCCTCAGCGGGGACCTCGAAGACTTCCTGACCCCAGACCGCTCTCCTCCCCCCTCCCCAAAGCCACTGGAAGGAGCACATACTACCTAGAAGTAAGAAGAAGAGCCTCAGAAAAAACAAAGTTCTATTTTATTAATTTTCTATGTGTTGTGTTTGTAGTCTTGTCTTAGCTCTGGACGTGAAATACTTCGGTAATAATATTAATATTATTAATAATGATAATAATAATAAAGACATAAAAACTCATGCTCAATCACTTCTGCTCCTCCCCTGCCACCACCCTCCCACTGCCCACCGCCCTCCCACCACCACTCCTTGGTCCCTGGTGCCGGAAACTCTGCAGCAAAGGCAGGAGCCTGGTTGGCCCCAGCGGCCCGACAGGACTCGGAAGTTACAGTTGAGATAAAGGCTGGAGTCATCCTGCCCAGGCTCTAGCTCTGAGCTTGCGGGTGCTGAATGAAGCTCGTAATGTCCTCTCCAGGCGCAGACGTGGGGGACAGAGAAGGGCCATTTCCCTCCTATTCTCTAGCTGTTCCTCGTTTGTCCGTGGCACGAGGGACACCACTGAGGCCCCCTAGCCAGGAGCCCTTGCAGAGATTTAACGAGGCGGGTCTTGCGCCTGAGCGGCGGTTTTCTGTCCTCCCGCTTGCTGGGGCAGTGGTTTTTGGCCTGTCCACATGGTCTGGTCTCCACCGGTCTTGGCCATCGGATCTCAGCCTGTGGCTCCGGAGGCCAAATCAGGGCTGCCGGGTCTCTCTTCGCCTGAAAAGCTCTAGCTCCTCTTCCTGCCTCAAGTAGGAGCTCAGTGACAAGTACGGGAATTCGAAGCCATGGACAGGCGCCCGCCCAAAGACAGGACTTTCCCCTTGCTCCTTGGAGACCTGAGGATAGGAGGCCCGGTGATGGGGCAGTTCGGTTTCCTCTCCTCGACCCAAAAACGACCCATTCTCTTCCCGTCCCCATTCTCACATAGACGGCAAGCTGCGGACACTGTTTTCCTTTCTTCCTCCTCCTCTCTCCCTTTTTTATTTTTAAAGAAAATAGCCGCCCAGCAGAAGGGGCCCAGCTGCGGCCGTCTCTGCCCGCCCAGCGCGTTCTGCAAGGCGCCGCTGGTCCTCAGAAGCTCTTTCCGGGGAAAGCGTGGGCCGCCGGGCACATTCTGAAACTACCCAGACGCCAGCGAGGGGCCTGGAGCGGGGCCTCCGGATGCAACAGCGGGCATCTGGCGAGGAGGTGAAAGGCTCCTGCCTTGATCCCAAACTCTGAAAGCCACGTTTCCACCCTAGCCCCAGATGCCTTCACGGTCGCCGCCACCGTTTCTCCCACAAGTAGGCCGCTTAACCTCAGCGGTGTTCATCCTCAGGGGTCCCAGTCTTGCTCTGCCATTCACCAGGCTGGGCTAAGGATGAGGAGGAGGTCAGGAAGAGGGTTCCAAATTAAAAGTTAAGGGACTGAGCAGAAGGGAAAGTTTCTCTTTCCAACCCTTGGCCCAGCTCTGCCAGCTCGGCCTCGGCTCTGTGAGTGGGCCGCTACAGCCCCATTAGGAAGCAGGCCAGGCTGAGCTCGCGGAAAGGGGAGGAGGGCCCGAGGCAATAATTGTTTTTCACACACATCTTCCAACCCTCTCCCCCATTTCCGAAGCCAACTCGGAGAGTAAGGGAAAAGCAACTCAATATTTGATCATCTGATCCAGAGTTAAAATAATAATAAAAACAGGGAGAAGAACACAAATAGAAAGAAGTAACCCCACTCCCAAGACAGTGATTAAAGCCTCAACCGGTTCCCTCCTCTGAAAGACTCAACTCTGCGAGTGAGCCTACGCCAGGCTGCTTCTTCGCCCTGCGGTTGCGGGGAGCCAGCAGGGAGGCAGTCGTCGCCGCCATGGCGGTCTGAGGCGTGCGCTTCCGCCGATCACCGGGAGGTGGCGCGCTCTGCTCAGAGGCCGCCTCCAACCTTCTCCCTGTTTCTCCCCCTTCTTTTTTCCCCCTCTCGGAGGCTCGCATTGAATCGGCCCTAACGATTCTCGGATCGTCATTATTTGTAACCATAGAGCATGAATTACCTCTTGAGGTCATCAGCGAGAATTTACGACTGGTCAACAAAAGCACGTGATTCTCTAACGCCCCCCCATCCCCCTTCCACCCCCCCCCATATTTGGCCGCATACATAGCAAAACGAAGTACAGTGCATCGCTATAATTCATTAATACATCATAAATCGTGAAGCACAGGGTTATAACGACCACGATCCACAAATCAAGCCCTCCAAAATCACCCAAATGAGCTCGTACTTTGTAAACTCCTTCTCGGGGCGTTATCCAAATGGCCCGGACTATCAGTTGCTAAATTATGGCAGTGGCAGCTCTCTGAGCGGCTCTTACAGGGATCCCGCTGCCATGCACACCGGCTCTTACGGCTACAATTACAATGGGATGGACCTCAGCGTCAACCGCTCTTCGGCCACCTCCAGCCACTTTGGGTCGGTGGGCGAGAGCTCGCGCGCCTTCCCCGCGCCCGCCCAGGAGCCCCGCTTCAGGCCAGCGGCGTCGAGCTGCTCCCTGTCCTCGCCCGAGTCCCTGCCCTGCACCAACGGCGACAGCCACGGCGCCAAGCCCTCTGCCTCGTCCCCCTCCGACCAGGCGACCCCAGCCAGCTCCAGCGCCAATTTCACCGAAATAGACGAGGCCAGCGCGTCCTCCGAGCCTGAGGAAGCCGCGAGCCAGCTAAGCAGCCCGAGCCTAGCTCGGGCGCAGCCAGAACCTATGACCACCTCCACAGCCGCGCCCGAGGGGCAGACTCCGCAGATATTCCCCTGGATGAGGAAGCTTCACATCAGCCATGGTAATTGTCGCTCTCGCTCCCTTTTTTGTCTTCTCGGCGTTCCTTCTCTGCGTTTGGGTCGGGGGCGGGAGGGGGGGGGTGAGGAGAGCTTGGCTTTTCCTCGAATATAGATTTATTTTTTACAGAGGGGAGAAGTCTCTAAGAGGGTCCTCACAGCTTGGGGGACAGAGCCAAAGAAGGTCTTTAGTTGGGGGGTGAGAGAGGAATATTTTAAATAATTTTTCCCCAGACTCAACGGTGGTTTTACTCGTCCAGCTGTATTAGCTTTCGAATGGAAGGTGGGGAAGGGTCCTGCTTACCCCGGAAATTTTGAGACTGCCGCCAGCAAAGGAGGGGCGAGCAGTCAAACGAGCTTTCCGGGGCAAAACTGCCGCCGCTCCCTTCCCTCCCGGGGCCAGCGGCCGCCTGAGCCCAGCGAAGAGTGAGGCACAGGGAGGGAGCCAGAGACAAAGCCGGGCGCCTTCTCTGCCGGCAGAAGTGGGGGCTGCGAGAAGGAGGTTCAGAAAGCGAGCTTAGTTGCGGGGTGTCTGGAGCGGGGAGGATTGGAGCGGTGGTGAGCTGGGGGCCGGGGACGCCTGGGTCCTGCTCCACGCCCCCCTCCCACCCAGTGCCCCCTCCCTTGACCGGAATAACGTTGCCTCGTGGGCTCTACTCTGTCTGCTCCAGATATGACCGGGCCGGACGGGAAAAGGGCCCGGACCGCCTACACGCGCTACCAGACCCTGGAGCTGGAGAAGGAGTTCCACTTCAACCGCTACCTGACGCGGCGGCGGCGCATCGAGATCGCCCACGCGCTCTGCCTGTCGGAGCGCCAGATCAAGATCTGGTTCCAGAATCGGCGCATGAAGTGGAAGAAAGACAACAAACTGAAAAGTATGAGCCTGGCTACAGCCGGCAGCGCCTTCCAGCCCTGAGCCCTCCTAAAGGAGCCCTGGGCGGCCCAAGAGCTCGTGCCGCCCCCAGCCCCGGCCCCTCCGAGCCTTGCCGCGCTGCCGCTGTCCGCTGGGGACCGGTTCCCACGAGCCTGCCTCGCCCTGGCCTTGTGTTAAGATTTTTCGTTTGGTCTTAGGTCTGCCTGTGGCTCCCTCTCTCCTGGACTGGTTAATCTTGTTATTATTGTTAATAATAATGATAATAATTATTTTCTCTCCATGCTCCTCACTCCCCTCCGCTCACCCCAAATCCACCAGTGTTTCTGAATGTTCGTGTCTGTGGTTGCACTCCTTCCCCAGGAAGAAAAGAAACTCGCATGTTTAATGTGAACTTTCCCCGCCCCATCTTGTTCTTCTAACTTATTTATAAAAGGATGATCGCTGTATTTTGAGTTTCAGCTTGAAACTTCTCTAAGGGGCAGCAGTTGAGGTGGGGTGGTGCCTAAGTGGCTGAGGCCCAGCTGAGCTGGCCTCAGAGATGGAGTCCATGACTGCGTCTTTCCACCCTCTTCTTCCTCCTCCCTCTCCACCCCCTGGGTCCAAGTCTCCTAGTGACTTGGTTCTGGGGTGGGAGGAAGCCAAGGTGGACCAAAGGGGTGATGTTAAGAAGAGGAAAGGCAAATAATGAGATGTGAGTTCCTGCCGCCTGTGTAGGCCCCACACGGCCTGGTCTGGGCGTGTAGGGTAACAAAAATAATCCTCAGTGTAAAATGTCTTGTGTATTTCTCTGTGAATCCATGGGTCTGGCATAGAGGGCCCAAAGCGTGTAAATATGGGGGTAGTCTGGGTCAGACCCATCCCACTCCCCCCTACCCATTTCCCTTCCAAGACCATTTGTAGTGAGTGAGTGGATGCTGTGCTACGTGTGAAATCTGTCTTTGCCGGGCCTGTCTCAGTGATTCGCTTTTGGTATTTGTTTGTAGCTTTCCTTGAAGTCAATAAATGTTTCCCCTACTCCACTGCCCTTCCACTTGTCTTTTCTCTGGGAGCCTACCTCTCCCATCACAGGGCACACCCTACACTATTCTTGATAGATCTGGGGTGCAGAGAAGGGAAAGCAGGGTGCTCACCAGCAGCCCCTCTCAGCCACCTAAGTCCCTGGCTTGGTCAGCGGTGTTTGAGCCAGAGGACAGGCTTTCATTCCTGGGGGACTGAAAGGCCCAGAAACCTTATGTGAGGCTGGGGCCAAGGAAAGGATGAGATGGACTCCACCCTGGCCTTCCACCAGCCAGCCAGAAAAGCCTCTGGAAACCTCTTCAGGGAAAGTAATTTGGGCCTAAGTCTTGAGTAGAAGGTCCTGGCCAGATGGGAGTGGTACAGGCCATCCCAACTCCTCTAGCCCCTGCTCCAAATCCCAGTTCGGCTCTGCTACCCACTAAGGCAAAAAAAAAAAAAAAAAAATCCACTGGATTTCAAAGGTTTCCTCTTATCCTCAGTCTTCTCTGCATTTATCAAGAGCACTCTCTCCAGAGGCCTAACTGACCTTCTTTCTTGATTAGGAGTTGGGGTCCCTCCTGGAAGACCCCTGGTTCCCCTTACAGCCAGACTGGCCCAAGGCCAGGGCCCAGTTCTCCTATATCCAAATCAGCCTCCACCCTGAGCACAAGAGTCGAGTCTGGACACTTACCCGTTCAATCCCTTCCAGCTTGGCCCAACTTCTTACAGGACTTGGGGGGAGGGGAAGCTGGTGAGGAGGCAGCCGAGGGTCGTGGAAGCTCTACTGGGCCCTCTTTCCCCCTCACCCCTTGACTTTGTCCCCCTTTGTCCATAGCAAACTATCCCAAAAGTCGCTATGACATTTAGATGTCAAATGGATAGGGGTTTTATCTTGAAGTTAGATCGTAAAAATCGCCGAGAAGTCAGACAGATACCCCTCACTGGCTCGAGAAAGTCACGTGAGGTCCATAAAGTTAGTTTTATGGTTTTGGGGAGTTGACACCGCGCGGTATATTTCACATTCTCCAGAATGTTAAGTGACACTTTAACTGCTCGCTGTGGTGGGGAAGGGGGCAGAGGTAGGTGAGGGCTCTCGCAGCCCAGAAGGCAGTGGCGGCAGCCGAGGCCCAGCTCTCTCGCAGTAAGTCGCTTCCAGCTTTCGCTTTTTCCCCTTTCAATTTGGGGCTTGGGATCGGGGGAAGGAAATCGTGCCTCTGGCAGGACTGTAGGGTGAAATTTAGTCTGCTTTTTGCACCAAGTTCTGACAAGCTGGGTTGTCTGAAGTGGGGGCACTCAGTTTGATAAGGCCTCAGTGATTGAGGTGCCTGGTTTTTATTCGCAGTAATGTCTGGCTCTGTGGGGAAAAGCACTTGTGTGGGTTCCTTCAGTGCCCTTGGAAATTTAGGGGGTAAGAAGGAGGAGTGTGTACTGCTGAAAGAAGGGCCCCTTGTGGGGGCCACTTCACTGCTGGATATCTTCAGACAGACATCTCTCCACCCCCAGGAAAGAAACTTTATGACAGGCATTTGTCAGGGGTGTGTGGGGGCACGCCGCTGGGCACTTTTATCTGGATACATATGAGCTGAGAAAAAGCACCGGGAAGGCTAAGCAGCTGCCGTGGGCTGCCTTGCACTGGGACACTCTCTAGCTTTCAGATCTTTGAACACCATGAAAGGCAGTACCTCCAATTCTCCGTGGCCTCATCAGGGTTGTCAAGGATGGGGAGCGTGGCACTTTTGCACCCCACTTCAGCCTGTTGGTCCCAAGCCAACATTTCTGCTTGGCTCTAAATAGGGTCCTGAGGTCAGAGTGGGGAGTGGACAGAGGGAGGCAATTCCCTCAAATCCAAAACCTAACTCCTAGCCGAAGTGGGTGGAAGGGGAGAGCTTCTCCCCTTGCCTAGAGGAGCTAGGTGTTTAAGGTAGATCCCTGGAAATCCCTCCATAAATAAAACTAGCTCAAGAAAATAGACCCCCAACTGTCAGGAGGGAAAAAAAAAAAAGAGACTCAGGAGCTGGAAAGAACATTGGAACCATTGCCTCTTTCCTCTTCTTTCCCCTCCGCAAGACCCTTAAAAGCCTTTGTTTTGTGGCACTACAAACCAGAGAGATTTCATTATTTGATCTTCAGGGGTCTATTTTCTAAGGATAAGTCACTCTTCTAAAAACCAAAGGTCTCTTCCACCAAATTGACTCCCCAATTTTAAGAATTATGGAGTTAACCACCTTGTCACTCATGCCTTTGCCAGCCTGCCAGCTCTTGATTTAGCTGACCAAGTCCCATGGATAGTACCTGAAATTGGACATGTGGCACTCTGAGGGGCTTCTGATTTTGGGGACAAGGAAAGGGCCACAAAATTCCCTCCATTTCCCATTGAAGGACATCCCCACTAACTCCCTCTCTCTCTTGCAGCTGTTCTCTGTCCCTAAGCTCTTCAGTCCCTGCCCAGGCCTGATTTACAGGAGACCCTTCATAGGCTTTGAGAGCAAAGAGGACAGAGAACTTGGAATCCTCACCCAGATTTGAAGGCACATCTCCCCAAGAATGATGAGGCATTTGTATCCCTTGGGAAGAGCATTCTGTTCAGCTCCCAAAGGATTCCCAGCATCATATAAAATACTAATAAATTTTTCAGGCATAGCTTCCGTAGGCTTCCACTCTGGACAAGGCAAATGAGTTGAGTGAGGTGCAGAGGAAGCACGCAGCAGGGGTAGAATCCTCCTCCGGGCCTCCTGGGAAGCTCCATCCTATTGTGCCCCAGGCGTCTCTCCCGAAGAAACCCCGACCACCAGGCCTGTCCCTAAAGATTTTTTTTGCCTTCTCCCATGTCAGTTCTGCAAGCTCCGATAAATATTGTGTGGGGCCGATGGCCCAGTGACATCTACTGGGTTTATCTAGATAGATTTTTCCGGAACAGTGAAGAACAGCCCTGGGTGGGTAGGGGCCACTTCCGAAGCGGAGGCCAAAACCCTTGGAAGGTCTCCGGCTCTAAGCGGATTTGGAGAAGATGCAGTAGCTGGGTTTTCCTCTTCCCCACTTCACTCTGGGCAATGGTCTCCTTTGAAATCCAACAAGGACCTGTTGGGGAAGGAGATGAGAGGTGAGAAGGGGTTTCTGGTGCAAAGGAACTCTCTCCTCCGCCCAGACCTGCGCCCTCTCCTTCGGCCTACCCGAAGACATTCTTCGGGAAAGCTGCTCCTTTCTCTCTCTCCAGGACCTTTTTCTCCCTCCTCTCTCACTCGCTTCCCGCTTCATCTGAGTCCAGGCCTCAACCTTCTGAGCTGCAGGCTGGTATCATCTGGCCAGATCCTTGTGCTCAGCTGCCCGCCCGCCCAGCTGCATACCCCAGACCTGGGGCAGGGCCAAGGAGGTGCCAGCAGGACTTTAAGGCTACAATTTCCCTTTCCCCTTGGAGGCAGGCCTGACCACCAGTCAGTAGAGAATCTGATTTTTTGTTTTATTTGCTTATTTTTTTGTTTTGTTTTGTTTCTCTGCAGCCACAGGGTAGGAGGAAGTATAAAGAAGTGTAAACAGGAAAGCCAGCCGGGCCTGGAGTTCCCAGCGCCAGTATTTCATCGGCTTCCTCTCCATAACTGCAGCAGGGACACTTAACCCTTCCCTGGCTGTTAGAACGTATTCACTGGGGGCTGGTGGATCAGGCTGTGGGGACCAGATCCAAGTGCAAGCTCCTCTCCAGGCCTGGTTCTTTTATCCCTGGGGTCTGGATGCTGGGGCAGAAGGCCAAGCATTCAGAGCAAGGGAAGAGATAGCCTGCTCAGCACAATCCCCCAAATTCAGTCTTTTTCGGGCTCTTGGGCTTCCCAGCCTGGGGACCACCAGGGCCAACCAAGGAGGACAGGGCTAGCAAGAACCTCTCCCCTCTGTTGGAGGAGAGCCCACTGGTCACTCTCTCCATTTTGGGAGTAATGGATTTCAGGCTGGGATCTGCCCACAGCAGGGATTTATCGATTGCTGTGGCGCTGTTACACATCCATATTAATTAACCTAGACACCGCCTGGAAACCAAGCTCTTTGGGGAGGGGGAGGGGAGAAATGGGGGCCTCAAGGAGTAGGGACATTTCTCCCTAAGCGTCCCTGGGGCCCAGTTTGGAGAGTCATTCCCCACAAGAATCATGTGGCCTTTCCCTGCACTTCTCAGCAGGCGTAAGCCTGATTTATTTATTCTCCATAGTCGGACCCCAAAACAAATCTTCTGGGAGGGGGGGCGTTTAAATTAAACACCTTCCAAGTCAGAGTTCCGATTGCCCCAGCCCTCCGATGGATCTTCTGGTGGCTATTCCCAGCACAGGCCCTCTAGAGAGGTCAAAGCCGGCTCCCTGCTTTTCTTTCAACTTCCCCAAAGTAGAAGCTTTTTTGTGGTTTGGGGGCTTGTTTTGTTTTAGTGTTTGGTGGTGGTGTTAGTGATGGCCTTCCCCTTCCCCCTACCCCTCCCTCCAAAAAGTGATTAAAATCTGTTAAAGGATTTAATTAAGAGAGGTAAATGAAAAGGAAGGAGGCGCAAATGAGTTGGGGGAAAAAAACCCACACCAAAGCTATTCTCAACGATTAAATCGCCATTTTAACAATATAATGGAGTTTGCATCCTGAAAGGGGAAATCAACGCTCATATCTCATCAATAATTCATAGAGTCCGGGATCACGCAGAGGTCAGCAGACGAGGCCGCAGCGCCGGCCTACTTGGGGCTGCCAGCCGCTGCCGCATACATTACGTACCGCGGGTCGCACCGCCACCGCTACCTCCGCCGCTCCGGCGACGCAGAGACATGCAGACAGGTTGAGGTGGATTTTGCGTTTTCTTTGGCGAATTTACTAAGACCCAGGTTTTGGCCTCCAAGAAGAAGTGGGGGGATTTAGGAGATTGGAGAGGTTTGGATTTCGGGCAATTCGGGACCCGTCGGACCCGGAACATCACCACCTTCCCAAGTTTTAATCTCTCTCCCCCCCGCCCCGCTTCTTTCTCCTTTTCTCTGTTTTGGGCATCTTCTGTCCTGTCTCTTCTCGCCCTAAATTTCCTCTTAAAGAGGAAGATGCACTCTCTTCAGCATCTTCTAGTTTCTCCTCCCTGGAAATGCTCCCCGTCTGTCCGGTTGCACTCCGAGGTGATTTGAGTTTAGCCCCCAAAGCTGCGATCTCAGCTGCGGTCGGATTGCGGGCCGGCTTGGGTTGCAGCCATCCCTGACCTCGGAGCCCTGTGGGTTAGAGATGAATGCGCCTAGGGAGGAAAGGGACCTTGCAGGCCCCAGTCCAGTTTGCCTAGCCAAAAGATGATCCGGGCCAGGTAGAAAGGAGAGGATTAACCTGGAAAGCGGCATTTAGGGAAGAACTGAAAGTAAAGTCCCAGCATGTGGGAACGTCTTCTCTTGGGGCTTGGGGACAGGAGGGAGTAGAATCCCTATTTCCTGGAGCTTCTGCAGGCTTGTTTCATTCTCTTTCTCTCTGGGTGTGTCTAACTCTCCTTTTTGTGTTTTCCGACTCCCAAGGGCCCCTGGGGAAGGAGGAACGAAACCCTTCCTTGTGTAGATGTAGAGGGACTGGGAGGCAATATTTGGGCTCAAGGGAAACTGAAAGAGCACAGGTCGCCCCTGTGGCCACTGCGCCGGCCGAGAGGCAGAGGCTGTAACGTCTCTGAGCTGCCAGTAGAGTCCGCCTTAGACCAAGTTCACAGCCAGGCTGGGGCCTCCAAGGCGCCAGCGAGCGGCCGCATAAGGTGGCCCTGAGCCGGCTGGGCCTCGCTTGGACTGGATACTGAGTTCTGTCTCCCTCCCTATGGGAACCGTCGCCCCCTCTGCTCCTAAGGAAACTTTGCTCGAAGCTCTCTTCATTCTTCACCCCAGAAACACCTTTCTCCAGGTCAGACCATTCTACCGCTCCCCATGGGTCGGTCTTCTAGCCAGCAGCTGGCCCCCCTCTGGGGGACAGGAATAGAGAGGGGTGGGTCATCAAAAGCTCTTCCAGGCATCTTAACATGAGAGACTGGTGAAAATGTGGGAAGTGGGGTCAATGCGGGAAGTGGGCTTGGCATCTTTTTTCCAAGGAGTTATTTAATAATCAGAACTCCTCTTCCCCAGGTCTAAGACTCCTGGGTGGGGGTGCGGGTAGGGAAGGCGTTTTTTTGCACTTGGGTTTCTGCAGCCTGAGCAGCAGAATGAGACCCTGGGCAGTGAGGCCAGTGTTATTGCCGGAGGGGTCGCAAAGTTGGAGGGTCAAAAGTTTACTGTGTGCGTGCACCGACGGCGGCGGCGTCTAGTGGCGGGGGCGGGGTGGGAGAGGGGAGGAGGTTGTGTGTGAAGAGAGAAGAGAGGGAGCAAGGGATGCTCGAGGTAAGGAAGGCTTGTGGGCTGGGGGTGGGGTGGGGTGGAGGAGTATGGCTGGGAACAGGAGGAGGCAGATGTCTGAGGGTGGAGAAACTGAGGTAGGAAGAAACCCTTCTCCAAAAAAACGGCTCTGGTAGGGTGGAAAGCAGCAGAGAAGAGAGTGCTCCTGGTATAGTGAATCCTCTGCACAATTTTATCTCTCAAAGATAACCTTTGAGTCGCCATATAAAATTTAATTAAAACCTACTCAGCTGCACATATTTAAAATATCCAATAACCCATACGTCCTTGCAGGACGTTTTGTGGGGCTAAGGAAGGCTTCTTCCAAGGTGAAGGCCTGAGTCCCACCCACTTCCCCTAAAGGGGCCAAACAGCTGGCTTCCCCAAGCCCCTCACTCCATAAGCAGGCCTGGTTTTCAGGGATTCCTAACCCCCAGGCCGCTGGGGTCCAGGCAGCTGCGGTCCATGATCACGGGCCAGAACTGGAGAACTTCTAAACTCCCATCTTTCTTTCCAAATTGCTTGGGTTTAAGAACTCGGATATTGAAAGAAGTTTATTAACTTGTTAATTTTCTCACTCTCCCAAACCCACTTGTATGTTCATCCAGAATCCCTCTCTT